TGCAACAGAAGGAGCAAGAGTGAAAGGGGAGGTTTACAAGATGGTAGCAAGACCTGCTATAATGTGTGGTTTGGAGACCTTCACCCCAAAATGCAGCAGTCGAAAAAAGATAGTTTATCATTATGTATTAAACATTAAAAAAAAAAAAAAAACAGCTCGGGAGTGGACGAATAAGCATTCTGTTATTTATCAGTTATTATTATTATTTATGATATTATTATTTACTTATTTTGTTTAATTATCTAATTCTTTATTTTTGCCTTTATCTCTACGACGTCCGATACATCGAGTATATGCCAGGGAGGGATTAAGCAGCATTCCGGAACCATTTAAAGTGTTGTTGTTGTGCTACACCGACCAGTTAAAACCGTTGGACACCAAACAATCAGAGGGCAAAGTTGTTCCACCTGCATTATGCCGGCGAGCAAAACCGTCAAATATTCATTTTAACTTCAAGTAACGATAATGTGGGTCGCCAGGCGAGTTTTGTCGTCGCTGGTCAAAAGAAGTAAGAATTTTTAATGCACATATGTCGTTAGCTAGTATCGCCAGTTGTAAAATGTCGTTTCATTGGAAGCCTTTAGAAGTTGCATCTTCTTTTATGGTCTTAAATGTTCATTAACAGGTGTACCTTAAGTAACTTTGGCTGAGCTCCACACTCATATTGTAAAAGTTAACACCTTAAACGTTAGACTAAGATTGAACACATGTTGCCCCGATGTGTTTCCAGGTCAGTATGCGGGACAGTCCGGTTTGTTTTGCCGCCCTCAGTACGGCTCCTTCCCTGAGCTGGAGCTGCGGTACCTTCAGTGCACATGCTGCTGGAGAAGCCGGGTTCCCGTGGCGAGCTTTGAGACCTTTAACGCTAATCTGTCCTCCAGTAATGAATCCTGCAAGGACGACGCGAGCAGAACGCTGGACACCTGCTACACCCCAGAGCAGCGAGACGCTATCCTCCAGCTCCTCAACACCGCCACGCCAGGAGAGCTGGCCGGGATAAAGCTGCTGCGAGGTCGCAAGTCCCTCAACATTGTGGAGTACAGGACTAAAAACGGACCCTTTAAAACTCTGGAAAGTGTGGTGAATGTTCCACTGCTAAAGCACAAAAGTGCTGTCATTGTCTTCAACTCCATTCTCAACCCGACGGTTAAGAAGGAGAGGAAAGTGAGGATACAGCTGGCCAAGTTCATCAGGCCAGAGGTCGACAAGTCTTGGTTAGAGGTGAGCTTTTCGTGTTAACAGGTGATTTCCGGTGTGTGGTTTGTTTTTTTGTTTGTTTGGGTTTT